AAGTCCTGCCTGCTCAGCAAAGGTGAATTCAAGGTGGAACAGGCTGTGGTGGGACTGCTGCAATACACAAGGGAAGGAGAAGTGCTCCTTGCAGAGGAGACCAAGGGTAGAAGAGTGGGCTGTGCTATCACCATGACTTAGGTGCACGTGACTTCAAGTTGAAAGCAGGTAACTGTGGAGGACCTCTAAAAATTGATAGAAACCTTACAGCCTTAGTTAAGGTGAAAAGTCATCATCAGAAGTCTGTATTGCTCTCCTGGACGCCTGGACTGTGATTTTGGAAGGTGTGGGTGCATTTTTTATGTGCAGAGACGAGCTGAATTTCAAAGCAAGAATGTTTTCAAAGTGGGGGAGTCCTTTACATCATGGCAGAGTTGTGATGACAGAGGACATTGAAGTCTAACATCTTAATGGATTGTGTAATTTAACAAAATTTAAATAAAACACACACAAAAAAAAAAAAGAAAAGCCCATGCACCACCACCCCATTCTCTGGCTGTAGTATACTGTGACATTTAAAAGAAACATTATTTTTTCTCTGCTGTCATTTTCTGTAGAGCATTTGTGGGTACTATGTTTAAGTTTCCTTTTTTTTTTTTCTTACTTAGAAAGTGGACCTGTTCAGTCTGGGTATAATATTCTTTGAAATGTCTTACCATCCCATGAGTACTGCCTCAGAAAGGATCTTTGTTCTTGGTCAGTTAAGACTGGTAAGCACATAGATATAAAAGATTCTAATTCTGCATGTCATACAGTCTAAGATAAGTAAAACAACACAAAACATAGCATAAAAGTTTCACAGGAAGTACTTAAAAAAAGCATATAAAATATATAATAAGTGAAGGATAAAATTGGAACTGCTATCAATATTCCCTTAATGCACTGTGGATTCCCTAGGGGTATTTCCATCAGTCAGTGTTCTATCTGTGAAATTAATTTTTATAACGAAAAACATTAGAGGTGTAAATGTCAGATGAAGAAGACATCATGGCTTTAGCACACCTTGGTTAACACCTGATGGGTCTCTCTCAGGAACCAGTTGATATTTGTAGCTATCACACATTTGCCAGTTGGTAAATGCTTGTGATTATGGATTATACCTTCATTGTACAAACATCACAAAAACATTTCTGTGACGTTCATTTTCTTTTTAGCTCTTCAAACTGAATTTGCCAGGTGGATGTTTTTCTGGTTTATTTTTTATTTTCCCCCTAGACAATAAAAATGCATAGTTTTTCTGTTTTAAAACATAGAATTTAAAAATAAAACTAGCCTGAGCAAGCTGGACTACCTGTTATAATTCAAATGTGGGTTTTGTGTCTGTTTCTGTTTTTTATAGCCTACTATTGTATTTCCTAAAGACTTTGATGAAGTCAAGCATGCAAAGCAGGTAATTTTGAAGACATTTTAACTATAAGGTATTCCCTGTCAAGAAATATTAATTACCATTTTCCCCACTTAATTTTGAAGTAAGTCTCTGCCAAGTTCTTACTACATGACATTAGAACAAAATAAGAGAAAAAAAAAAAATCTGAAAATATATAGTAAGTTGACATGGAAATGCTCTTACCCTCAGTTCCCTGAGCACAGTCATAAAGCAGTGCAGAGTTCACTGGCATGCATTTTAAGCTCTGAGGGACAGTTTTGACTTTTCTGGCTCAGACAAATGGCAGCTATATTGTTTAACTCTTAAAGGTTTGAAATCAATTTATGTCACAGGACAGAAAAAGATGTGCAAGCTAAATTGACTCCTCAGTTTGAAAAGAGCTGCTAAGAGCTGTTCTGAGTGCTTCCACAGCAGAGAAAGGAAATTATAAGGAGCAGTGTAGTCTTTTCTGGACCATCTAGGTAACTTTTTTTCCTTGTGGTAGTGGACTCCTTTGACCATTAGCATTATACACTTATGAAACAGCAATCTGCCACTTACTAGAACCATAAAAATGTTCCCATCTCGTGCACTTGAGTCAAGTATGTCAAGAAGATTCCTTTAATATCTGTAACTCTCAATTCTTTGTTGTTACATTTGTGATTCTGCTTTCTCTTAATTTTGTTGATAAAGAGATGACAGAGCCAGTTTATCATAGAACAACAAAGGATACTATGTGTTTTGTCATCCCAGGAGTCACATTTCTAGTAACTGTTGTGGTGTAGTAAATTTTTATTCACATAACAATAAAATATATATAGAATTTAATAAGCAAAGAATATCCGCCCCAAAGGTTCTTCTCCTGCTTTTGTCCCCTGTAGAGTCCTTTTTTTATTAATGTGATATGACTAACAAGTTTGTAAATACTGCTAATTCTAAAATTTTCCTAAGCTAAAAAACCCTGTTGATTTGATTTGTAGAG